CTCACTGCCTCCTTTTCAAAGTTTCTTCTATTCAGTGCCTCTATCGGGTAAACTATTACTATTATCAAAATTTCCAAGTGTGCGTGTAATCTTTGAATACTAAAAAGTTAAATTGAAAATAAAGAAAGTAGAATAATTAGAACACCCTCCAGATCTCCTTAACGCCCACCGGTGGACGGTCGCGCTTACTATGGGAACCTATTGCACGAACAATCGGAATAAATCTCATTGTTTCGTTAGATCGGTTCAATTGCCGGGGAATATCGGGCGTTCTCGTCGCGCGAAAAATACCGCAAATGTCGTAACTCGATCGTTCGATATTTCACGATCCCACCGGGTTCACCGATTGCGTTTTTACTCCGTGGGCACTATTTCCCCGTCGTTCTCCGTGATTTCAACAATAATCGCGGTTGCACAACCGGCCGGTACCGTCCTCTACGTTGTGCGCACCACCGCTCTCTCGTTTGATTTACGATAATTAAAGCTGACCCGACCTTTCGTCGCGGCGTTGGAAAAGAATGGCAGAAACAGAGAGGAGGGCTTCGCCGGAGAGAGGAACCGAGCCGAACCGAGACGAGCGCGGTCGGGCGTCAGTGCCGATGAGAGACTACAGGGAGAGAGATTAAAGAGAGTTTTTCTCCCTTCTCCCGTCACTCGTGCGCATATTTTTTTTTTCCTGGTTCTTCTCCTTTTTCCATTCGAACGCCCGCCACTCTCCTCCACCCTCCCTCCTGCTCCCGCGCCCCCCTTGGTTCCTCTACGCGGCTGTCGGTTCGAGAACACGGGCCCCGTAGAACCAACCGGGTAATTGCTCGGTCGAGCAAGCCCACCAACCAGCGTTCGCGGCGTTTGCATTTTTTACCCCGCGGCGATTTTACGAGAGATCCACCATCGACCTCCCACTATCCTTCTTCCGAGGCACCACCGCATCCGCTACGTGATCGAAAGTCGTATCGCGAACGTTGATCGCGATTTACTTATGATACTTATCGAAGGGAGGGGGGGCAGAACGGGGCCCCGGCTGTACCGCTCCGCGGATGAGTAATAGGTTCTCACGGGACCCGGTGAATCCAGACGAGCGAGTAGTACTGTTATACTCCGTCTGGCGACCGGACGGCGGATAACGGAGACGAGGAAGAATGGAACGGAATCCGAAATCGGGATCGTGACGCGACCTTTGGCCAACCGATTTCGGCGCATCGACGCGAGTCGCGAATTTATTAGCCATGAATATCGAGATCGACTTTCGTTTTCGACTTTTCTAATAGAAGGTATCATCTGTGTTCCACCAGTGAACGATAAAATACTTCCCTCAACGAACGATGGACGAAGTAGAACTCTTGAGACGGTTTACATTAGCTGAAGTCTGTCGACCAGGACGTTCGAAACCTACGTTGCGGTAAATCCGTGAACATTCTCGCGTCCTAAAGTTTCGAACTATTTAGAATCTCAACTAAACGACGTCAGGGTTGGTTCCTACGCAAAATCCCCTACAGTACGAAATGGCGAAAAACGCATCAACCCTTATTAAAGAACAGAGTATCACTGCCAAGTGTCATCGTGATCGTTAAGTTTCCATAAAGGTCTGACAAGATTGCGATTAACGGTGTCTCATCATACCGGACGCAATCCTTTCTCAACATTACACACGCGGCCGTCCCCCCTGCTTTGTGATTTACGGGTCATCCAGCGCAGCGTACCCGACGCAATCGATCGTGACGCCGGATGATCCAAGGGTACGTCAGCAATCAGCGCGGCGGCGAAACAGCCCGCACAGGGGGGAGCCGAACACGGACATGCTTTTTGCGATTCCCCGCTCAAGAAAGGAAGCCCGTGTTCCGTACTCCACGGGGCTAGTCACGAGCACCGTGGTCTCGGCAAAGGGAGAGGAGAAGGAAGGAGAGGAAAGGGGTTCAGGCAGAGATCTAATTATACGGCAAGTCAGCGTCGCTGATTAGTGGTGGGCATAACCGGCCGGTTACGTTACACCAGCCGTTTTCGATGATGGATTACGCTCCCTCCTTCTCCCCCCTGGAGCTAGTTTTAAAGCGACTTCAACGTCCGCGAGTGAAGGTGCCCTTTCTTCGCCCAGACTCCCGCGAGACCACGTGGCCGACTAATTAGCGTCCACCGACATCCAGCTCACGGCCTCGTCATCGCGACGCGGGCAAATGATGAATGGCCGTTCGTCGGGTGGTAGAAAAAAAGATTGTTACATACAGCGATAGGAAAGTTCGCGGTGTGGTTTACCTCTAACGCGCAGTACGGGGTTAGAGGACCTCATAGAGAGTCATCCGTGCTCATTAGTCTTCCCTCGGACTATAGCATCGATGGAACAAATATAGGGACTTCTTGGGAATCCATTAGAATGGATCCTTTCTTAAGATAGACTTTGTAAAGACCATCGAACGACCATCGATCATTATTAGACAAATTACTATCCAGTAAAGCTGTTTCTGGTTAGTTTATCAGCTATTTTTTTCGAATACTAACACGGATACTCATAAATTCTTCCACATGTATGATAATTTCATGGTAAACTCGTTTGTCAGAACTTCTGGCCCGTCTCCAATCGATACTCGACACCGTCATTTCGTACCCTAAAGTATCCCACGATGTCACTAATATTCGTTTCACCGAGTATAATTACAGTCCTTAACGCCATAACCGACCATGAGCACCGTGCACACGTCCATAACGAGACGCCACCGCCCCCTCTTCCCGCTGCAAATTGCACTCGCCGACGTTTCACTCGCGGCAGACCCATCGTCAGGATGAAACATCGTCGTCACCGTACGAGGCGCCTAAGAATATCGACCGTGAGGCTGTTTTCACCCGACAGGTGAGAGCAGCGTACAACGCGAGCGCGTGTCCCCGTGGCTGTATGGAAACGCGCGCGTACACGGGCGCGTGTGAATAATTACCCGGACGATTTATCGCGACGTGATATCGTGTCATAATTTCGCCTGGCCGCCGTGCTGGCGCGCCGCGGAAAAGAAAAAAAAAATATTAGCCGCGCTAATAATTAACGGGGGGCCGAGAGAGGAGGTCGCGCGTCCCTCGGGTCGTTCTCACGTTTTGACCAGGACTTCGCGTTTCTATTTCAACCTGGTCGATTTTCCAAGCGGATCTGATGAACTTTCCGAGAATTTCAACGTATGATCACCTCTCCGTTGCGAGATCTTTTCGTTCAACGAGGAGGCTTCGTTAGCGTATCGTGATAAATAGCTAATGGGTGATGGATGATGGGAAGAATGGACTTCTTCGTTGGCCTATGTATATATGTGTATTCTTCAAGACTGATACCGAGGCGATGAAAGTGGTCATGTGTGGGTCATTCTGTGAGCAATGTTCTCTCGCTTGTATAGCGACAGAATCATTGTCGGTTCGTTTATGAATCACAGAGATCGTGTTTCGATCTTAAGTTGATTTTATATATTTGTCTCCTGAGAAATTATGTTATTCTGTCACGTATGCATAGATAAATTTAACCGAGGCTCCGTGACTATTATTTTACAGAATTTGCAAATTTAACTGTTTGTCTCTTCGTTTTATTGCTACGCGATGAAAAGTCGCCCTGCATTCTGGTGAAACGCCCTTTATCATCTAACTGAAGATGATTCAATCTCGAAGGGGTCGTCAAGAGTAGATCGTTTTAAAAATATTACCAGGGGAGAGTCTGATATAAACATCCTTCGGCAACGATCCTTTCTGATTAGATTGTGGATGTTTATGCATTTGTAGCATCTCTCCAAGTGCCAAATACAATAAAATAAAGGTTTTAATAAAGTTAGTGTTAATATCTGAAATTGTAAATTTGCGTAAACTCCCATAATCTATTTCTGATATATCTATTGTACAAAATTCTGTATTAAGTTCTGTTAATAATTCGTTCTTGTGTTGAGTTAGAATTGTGAATTAATAAAGAAAATGTCGTGCTGTGGAATACCTTGTCCTAACAATATCCATTTTTTCACCACTGTGTCAGTTTAACGCCGAGGGACAAATTAAGTTAGGAAAATGAAGGACGGAGGAGGGTTTAATTTACAAGAACCTGAACCAATGTCTAAAGAAAATTTCACAAATCTGTGAATCGATCCTTCACCTTCAAAGAAGCTTTCGAGAAACGATTTAGCCACTCTTCTCCGCGATACATTACACGCGAGAACCATAAAATCGTTATCTACAACCGCAAGCTAATTACTCGTATCCCGTGGCCATAAAATATTTGTAACAGACTCGTTTCTCGAAACGAGTTTCCCCGTTTTCCCGGTATTATCGTTGCGATCTACGAGGCAAGGGCATTCGTTTCTAGGCAAGCGTTCATAGGCCGAGAACTCTGCGGAAAATTGCGTTTGGCCGCGCGCTTCGTTTGCCTGACAAGGGAAGGACCATAATTATTCGATTTCGATTTTATCAGGGTTTTGTAAGATGATAGTACACAGGCTTCTAATGATATATGTGAAATATTCGGTGTAGGCACTTGATAATTTTAAACATATAAATAATTAAATTTACGTACCTTTAAGATGTATTGTACTATGAATATACGTAAAATTTATCGAAGTAGGTTTCTTAGCTGGAAAATTGGAGGTCCTGGGATCGATTCCCGTTCATCGAAATATTTTTGTCTTACTTTGGCAACGCCATTTTGATAACTTTGTTTTATATCTTCAAGTTTTAATGGCTTCAATTGTTTATATCTTTAAAATTATCGAATCTCTATACCGAATATTTTACACAATATATTTAACAACCTGTATACTATCATCTTACAAAACCCCGTTAAAATCAATGTCGGGCAGTTAGGGCGCTTCCCTTGTAAGTGCCACGAGGAAAACTTTCGAATCCCGAACCAAGACGACCACAAGCGTGAAGAGCTCGTTACGAACTGAAATTAACCGAGAACGTTAACGATTCCACGCGATCCGGCGCTCCCCCACGTTGCTTTCCTGATCGCACCCTCCCTTTTGGCTTTTTACGCCCCTTGTATTACTCACCTTCGCCGGATGTGAAGGGTCGCACCAGGCCCGGCAGCAGCACGCAGAACAGCAGGAACGGGGAACACGATTTCGGCCTCATCGCGTACGTGTCACCGTCACGCGGGTCATTCGTTCATCTTACGCCTTGAGAAGACGCAAGATATTCCCGGTGAACCTCGACACTCGGGTCACACTGCACACTTTCACCCGGAGAACCGTCCGACGGAGGATTACACCTGTAAAGCAGAGGAAAGAAGATTTGTAAATACGAGACCAGACGTAATACGGATCCAGAAGCATGCAGGAAAACTTTATCGTTCGTTGTACGAGTGCCGTCGACGGGATCAGGATTTAATACCAGACCGATTAAAGGTTCTTTACATTTTGACAAATTTTATCGACGGTTTGGAACTGCCATTACCGTCGACGGAACGAGGCTCGAGTGGAAACGAATTAAATTCTTCCTACGTTAAACTGCACGGAGTTTCAGTCTTCGTTCAATGACGGTACTCGTATCCCAGGAGTACCTAAAAACCCCTTCGAGGTTTTTCGTTTCGGTCTAAATTAAATCTTTCAAATGAACGTCCTCCGCCCGAAACCTGGTCCCACTCTCGAAATGAGGGTGAAAGGGGAAAAAAATATAAAAAAAAAAAAGACGTCTTCCCAGTCGAACTGCGGAAACTACGGTTTATTATTCGACGACCACCCGTACGAGGGGTGGGCGCGCACGTCTCCATCGAGAAAAAATACGAGCTCCGGCTGTTGCTCTTTTCTCGAAAGAAAAAAAAAAGCGGATGAAAAAGAAATATTGAAACCTCCCGGTGGCACGCGATGGGGGCCCGAGGAAAGAGTATCGACGGCCCCGCGCGCAAGGATTTAACGTTCGGAGCGTTCGTTGTTTCCACCGGAAAACGTAAAAGACGGTTAGGAGAGGCGAGAGTGCCACTTAGGCACCGGCTGGCAACCCTTGCCATTTAAATATTCCGCCGGCACCCGCCCGCACTTTCCCGCACGCGAAATTTCCTCGTGGCGCCTTCCGTTCCCTTCCCCCGCAAGCAAGCAACCAACCAACCCCCGTGGATAGCACGAGGGGGGGTTTGTGATTTCGCCCCTGTCCCGCCCATTCATTCGTTCCCTCGAAACCTTCGGGATCTCCTACGGGGTTCTTCCCTTGGCCGATTCTGGTCGATAACCGACGACGTTAATAATTAACGACGATTCGTCTGGTCGAAACACGGCCTCCTCTGATTGCCGATCGCAGGAACCGAATCTACTGCCTGGATGTAGCGTGGGAGGAATTAAATTCTGGAAACCCGAGGCAGTCTACCGTTCCCTCGTTTCCCGTGGTCTTTTATTATTCAGTCTGATTATTTCTTAATCCCCAATCAGATGTGGTTCTTACATCTCGGTAAAACCATTAGCAATAGATTGGTGTGACAGTCTTCTTGATTGAAGTGGTAGTATGTATGTATATCGCAGCTCCGTGAGAATCGTGTCAAAGAGTTTCTATTTTAGTGCCTAAAAGATTGATCGTCCAGAAAAGTTTCGTAAGTTAATGTCCAGTACTTCGAGCGAGTATTAGTGTCACTTTGTTTAATGCATTAAATAGTACGAATGAATCAGTGTCTTCTCGTTCTACCTGAGAAATTATATGATTTCGATGTGTGACACGTTTCTTCCGGGCTTGTGATATGCAATTTGAGTTGTATTATTTTTAGTTTCAGCACACCCAGAATATAGGCGTATTTTAACCCTCGTCCCTCCCTTGTGTTAATTTGTGTAGATAAATTTATTTGAGACTCCGTGACTTTCATTTTAAAGAATTTGCAATTTTAACAATTTACCTCTTTGTTATATTAATTTTTTACCACTGTGTTAATTTTATACCGAGGGATAAATTAAATTAGGATAACGAGGGACGAATAAGGGTTAAATTAGATGAATTCAATGAAGTTTTCAACAAGATGTATCTTCCACGGTTGCCTGACAACAGAGTTTAGCACAATTCTGATCGAATAATACACAGCCAAAAACAGCAGTATCTAAAATCATCATCCTGGCCTTAAAACAGTTAATAAGATTAAATAATTGTTTTCCAAGTATCTCCTCATTCAACAAGATATCTTATATTATTATAAAAATTCGAATTTCCACGTTCAATCTATTAAAAACAGCAAAAGACTTTTTCATCTTTTATTCGTTATTCGAAACTCTATCTATATTTGTCCATCTCTGTCCGACAGAGGCAGAGTTATCCACGTTCGTTAAATAATCGTGTACTATTGTGTATCCGCCGGGTTGCAGGTGTAGATTCCAGGGGTTTCAGCAGTAACGTTCCGTTCAATGAACCTATTCAGCCTAACACGGGTCGTAGTTGAATATTTACGCGGGTCTAGCCGCGCGCGATCGCGTTGTTCCGCCCCCGGGGACATTTTCGATGGAAACCGATGGAAACAAATGCGCGAGCGGGGTAACCTGTCGACGTGGACTTTTACGATTCTATCGTTCCTATTGGCGGATTGAAATGCGACAGTAGGATCGTTTGTCAATGTCCGTTCGAGGCCCTTTGTTGGATTTGTGGCGGCGTTCGCGGGTTTGTTCGCGGTGTATCTATTTCGTTGTCAAATCAGCTGTATACTTTACAACCGTACAACTTGCAAAAGACGAAGTATCCTGTATCGAAACTATAGTTTCAACCTATAGACAATTAACTACCGATCCACCTACACCATTGTACTTTAGAGTATCATACCCTCGATTCGGTGCACCCCAATCTAGACATTAGATATAATTGGGAACGAATCTCATAAAGGGGGATTCCCCGAAGAAGGTACACAAATCCCCCGCCAACCGAAAACAACAATCCCAGATCCACATCGTGACACGCAACCGCCGCTAAAACATATCGAAATTCCGTGTCGACGCGCGAACCGATGTCCGCAATCGAAAACGTGACGGGGTGTTTGGCGGCCGTCAAATCGATAATTCCCCGTCGGGTCGTTATCTCGAGGACGCAGAAAGTCGATGAAACCGCGGAGAGAAACGCGAATGAAAGGGATATATAGTATGTGAACGGCGCGAAGAGGAGGATAGAACGAAGAGCCTCGGCAAAAGGACAGAGAGACGCGACGGGGGCCGAGAATGCTCTCGGGAGATTCATGACGCGGAATAATCCACAGGGCGAGAAGAGCCCGTGGAACGCGCATTATGCGAGCGTATCGGGCGTCCCTACACAGATTTCCCATCGTACCCGGGGAGACCTGGGTCTAATCCTCCAGGACGAGGACTCAATTTATAAACGTGCCCGGTATTACCACTCAAAGGCTTAAAACACTCGACACCGGAGCGACGTCGTACCGCTCGCGCCGTTCACTCGCGGACAAACACATGGCATTTCACACTGCAATTGCCACGAATGCCACCTCCTCTCTTTCTCTCTCGGTGGTGTCGCCTCTCCCTTCCGGCCGCCGTCACCGGGATAAGCGAGAACCTCGAGTGCTATTCACCCCCAACCCGCTCCAGAAAAGCTCTTTCTTTTCACAGGACCTGTTTCCAGCGGCTTCGGTCTCTTCTTCGCCACTTTACAAGCGGACCGCCTAGCACACAAGCTGTCCAGTTCTTCGCTTTCGATACGCCGCTGTAGCTTCGTCTTCTCGTATTCCTGGTCTAGGTAGATATACATATCTGGACCCTAAAGCCAGAGTGTATTAAGTCCAGTTTTTAAAAAAAATGACTGTTTACATGTTTCCTGTATCGAATATTTCGCATCTTCCGATGGTCAAAATTATTTCCTTGTGAATCGTCTCGTTTTTAATATAGGTACATAATAGTCTAAAAATGAATTCCTAATTTTCCATACATTTTGTCCCTTCAGAGGGGACAGCCGAGTGCAAAGGGTTAAGTTCGTATTTGTAAAACAGTGTAAAGTCGATCACACAGGGGAATTAATGGAATGTTCATCAGATTATTCTCGTAGAATTTTTACCGAAAGGTTCCAAACATACAAGGTGTTTTGCACCTTTGATTTGCTCTTCCCTAAAAAAGTGTGACTTAATACCACTCTGGGCTCCAGATATACGAACGTTCAGCCCCGCACTTCCAGTTCACCCGACCAGTCCCAGGGATTTCGAGGTGAACGCGGCTGGGCGACTTAAAAGCGGTTTAAAAGCTCCGAAGGGCAACCTGGGTATCGCGTGACAACAGGTAGGACGCAGGGGGGGAATCAACGGGGCCGGATTCCCCGGAGTACATTCAGCTACCGGTTTCCTCGGATCCCTTGAATGATTCTATTCCGCGTCTGCCAGGCAACGGAATAGACTCTTCTCTCGCCTATTCCCTCCCCTTCACAGGAGGTGGAACAACGAAGCGATTCGACGGTGGTGGATCTAATGTAGCGGAAACTGCTCCAGAACGAAGCCACGTTCTGCGTCGTTCGAGCTGCGTTTCCCGGTCAGGGAATTCGCCGTTGATTGTTTGCCTCTCGAAAGGAGCGCGTTCTCCCGCCGAATAGTTCCAACGAGGGGAAGTTTTATTGAGTTTCGGTGTTCCTCGGGGGAGGGACGGATGGCGAAGATAGATAGAAAATCCAGTTCTTTTTATTTCGTTGCGATCTACGGATATCGTTTCCGATACTTGAACGGGATATAATTTTTTTAACACCCTTGTGTCGATGTCCACGTTGTAGATCGAATAGTTTTATAGGGTTTATTAATTATTCACGTTGTGAATCAAATAGTTTTATAGAGTTTGTTTATCCTTCACGTTGTAGATCGAACAGTTTTATAGAGTTTGCGAAGTAATATCTTTTGGACTGTGAGCGGTCTCGATTGATCCAGTACAGAACTAAGAGCCAAATCAAGAGCTCGTGACGTAGCAGCCAGTGAACAGGGTAGGGAGATAGCTGCAGTTGTTAAGTGCAGTGTCGCATAGCGGGACTAATCTCGTACAATGCCCCTCAATGATTCGTGTTGTTGCTAGGACAATGTCCCTAGCAGCTCCTAATCTCTATACTCACTCGTATAGGGGACCAACCATTAAACAGGGGACCTGCGGTCTCTACATTCACAGATTACCCTACCACGGTGTCATATCACCTGGAGG